TTAACTGAAGAACTTATATGCATCTATGCATAACCCATGGACACAGACACTAGTGTGGTGAAGGCTTGGGGGTGGGGTGGGGGTGGAAGGGAACAATGGGGGAAAAAGGGGGACATCTGTAATACTTCCAGCAATAAAGATAATTTTTAAAAAAAAGAATCCCAAGATGGGGAAATTATTCTGAGTTATTTGGATAGACCCTGAATGCAAACACATGTCTCTTTCTGAGAGAAGGCAGAGGAGAAGGCCATGTGAAGAGGGAGCAGAGAGAGATGTGAAGATGCTGGCCTTTGAGATTAAGGTGACCTGGCTACAGCAAGGAGTGCTAGCAGCCACCGGATGAAAGAGGCAAGGGGCTCAGCCATCTAGAACCTCCAGAGTGAGTGTGTCTCTTGCCAGTACCTTAATTTTGATTCAGTGATACTAATATTGAACTTCAGGCCCAGGGACTCTAAGAGAATACACTACTGTTGTTTTAAGACATAAAATTTGTAGCAATGTGTTATAACAACCATATGAAACTAATCCAATTACCTTGCAATTTTTTCCCCCCACATTATTTTTCTTCCTGCTTACTGCTGCAATTTCAGTGCCTATCTGGAGGTTGTCTTCTCTAACTTGCCAGTATTATTCATATTTCTAAACTTTAATAAGCATTGGTCTTTATTAGGAACAACACAATTATAACTACAAGTAATGGGAAAACAGACAGGATTACATACATTTTACATAGGCAGGTTTTGTGAGTCAAAAATATTACTAGTTCAAGGATATGCAATAATTATTATAACTGATTCAAATCTAGATTTAGACAACACAAATGACATTATTTTTTTGCACTACACTGCAAAATATCACAAATTACAGTCAACTAAGTGATGCCATATATAGTTTATATATACTTATAAATTCTTATCCAGCCAACTAATATACATATCTCTTATCCTGAGACCTAGATGTAAATACAGAGGTGATGTCATAAATGATAAAGCTCCATGGAATCCATTCTCAATATGTTCATGAGCAACTTGAACTCCAGCATTTTGAAGTCTTGAAACATATAGAAGTCCATCATCTCTCAGGATATCATATTGGCAGGTAAGAATATAGGTTGATGGCAAATTCCATAACTGGGAATCATTGGCCAACAAGGGTGACATTCTGATATCCAGAAGTCCTGGCAATGAATAATTAGTTCTTCCAAGAACTGGTTCGGTATAAACATGGTCCTTTCTATACTTCTTGGGTAAAAGAGTACTCCAGTTAACAAACTTAAACAAATGTCTTGATTCCAGAGGCATATGTTGGTTTCTTTTCAGTGCCTGGGGAAACGTTTTATCCTCAGTGAGATATGCACTCACGAGTTTTATGCCTATGTCTCTTGTCAGAACTATACCATGCTCATTTTCTCTGTGAGATGGCAAATCAGTATCAATTAACTGTAAGTGAGGGTAAAGTAAAGCTTGTGCCTTGATTTTATGTTTTACTTCAAGATCATTCTGCACCTGAAAAAAATATAATATCTTGTAAGGCAAATACTTCCAAAACATCAGGAGGAGGAAATTTAATTTTAATAGTTTAAGTATCTTGAGATAAGCAAATCTACACACATTGATGTGATATTATAATTATTTTCACAATATTTATGTCTTTCAGTGGCATGAAAAATGTCAATCTCATTTTAACAGTGAAGTTTTGAAAATTTAGGTGGTTTTAATGAGATAAAGAGATACAAACTCCTAGTTAGAAGATATGTAAGTTCTAGGGATAGAATGTACAGCATGGTAACTATAGGTAATGATATTATTGTATATTTGAAGTTGCTAAAATAGTAAATCTTAGAAGTTCTCATCACATAAAAAAAACCCTGTAACTATGTGAGGTGATAGGGAGTTAACTAAACTTATTATGGTGATCATTCCACAATATATACATATATGGAATCATTATGTTACACACCTGAAACTAATATAATGTTATATGACAATTATGTCTCAATTAAAAAAGATTAAGACATATGGCAGGATTTTAGGCCCTATTGACTATACCTAAGAGTGATCTGAAAGGCTGGGAGCAGCAACAACAGGGAGCTTCTCAATCTGAGGCAACGACAGAAGTAGCAGCAACCTGGCCTCATGACCACAGTAATAGCACAATCTTTTGCTAAATTCGCTCTAGCAAATTGGGTGCCTTATTATCAATTGAGTTAGTGCACAAAATGAGTTCAGTAGAGTAGGCAAGAGGGAAAGAAACAAAAAATTTAAAAAAATTATATATATAATGTTTTTGTCAAAAATCACCAATGGGAAAAAAACTAAATACTATATTCTTGGGGGAAATTGAGAGAGATACAGCTTTGTAAAAATTCTTGATTGAAAATAAACCTTCCAGTCAAGATGGCAAGTAGGGGAGTAGGTAAACTCTGAGATTGCTTCCTCCCACAATCACATCAAAATTACAGCTAAACTATAGAACAATCCTCACTGAGAACCTCCTGAAGACCAGCTGAACAGGATTCCTATAACTAATGCTATAAAGAAGTCACATCAACACAGGTAGGAGGGATCGAAATGCAGACAGGGCAGGTCCCGTGGCCAAGTGTAATAAGTAAGACACAGGAGGGATATCTCGGTCCCAGCCCCAGTCTGGGCTCCCAAGCTCAGTGCTGGGAGGAGGAGTCCCCATGACATCTGGCTGTGAAAACCAGTGGGGATTGCATTCCAGACAGACAAAAGCCTGTGTGCAGACTAAGACATGCTGCTCTTAAAGGGCCAGTACAAAAACATTCACTCTTAGTTCCAGCGCAGAGGCAGCAGCTCAAAAAGTGAGAACATATGAGAAAGAAAGAAGCGGACTAACCTCCGGGTGAGGGCGGAGGGGACAGAGATCGGGGCCTTCTCTCCAAGGACAGACCCTCTGGCAGGTACTGTTCCTTTGTAGAGCTCCCCTCCCAGCAGATGGCCCAGTGCAGGAGGGTGCCCAGTGCAAGCTCTCTATGAACCTAGCAAACACAGTTCACCCCACACTGGTGACCCCCTGAGACCCACCCAAATAAATTCCCTTGCCTGGCCGAGCCTCTTCCAGAAGTTCCTCCTTAGGAGTGGCTTGCCTTGGCTCATGCTGTAGACACCCTCAGAGGACTGCAAACTCCACATGAGCGGTAGATCCCCTAGCCTTGTACTGCAGACTTTTTCAAAAGGCCACAAATTCCATGCAAGTAGCTGCTCTTGGCTCATGCTACAGACTCTCTCAAAGGTCCCAAAACCCCACACAAGCAGTGACAGGCCTTGACTTAAATTGTAGCTACTGTCAAGTGGCCACAAGCTTAATACAAGTGACAATCAGTCTCAATTTGCATTGTCACTCCCATCAGGTGGCCCCAAACCGGGCGTAAGTGGCCTGTAACATAGCTCCAGCTAAGCAGCCTCAAACACAGGACCAATGACAACTGGCCTCAGATTGTATCATTGAACCCACCAAAGGGTCTCAAGTCCAGCTCAAGTGAAAACTGACCTCAGTTTGCAGCATAGCCCCTCCCAAGCATGTCCAAGTTTAGCCCAAGTGGCAACCAACCATAGGTCATTTTGTGGCTCCTACCAAGCACCCCCAAGCCATAAATAAGCAGTGGTTGGCCTTGGTTTACACCAGAGCTCCTCCTACGAGGTTTTAGACACAGCAAACCCAGGGGCAGGCTTCAGACTGTGTCAGAGCTCCATTCAATAAACTTCACAATTGACACAATAAAAGAGCAGACTCGACTGGCACCAGAGCCCCTGCTAAAGTGAATCTCGTTCCATGGGATCAGGCCTGGCACAATAATTTCTCTATTGTAGTTATGGCCAGTCCTCACAGTCAGTCAGAAGGAGGGTTAGACCTATCCACTAATGTGCCAGAAGCAATCAAGGTCTAAGTACAACAGGAGGGAACACACACAGGGGACACCCCTGGAACACCCAACTCAGGTGACCTGGGAAACTTCTGAGGTCCACAGGACATCTTCTATGTAAGGCCACTCTGTCAATACTGGGGCATATAATAGATCCACCTAATACACAGAAATAAAGACAGGGAGTCAGCCAAAATGAGGAGACAAAGAAACATGCCCAAAATAAAAGAATGGGACAAAACTTTAGGAAAAAACTAAACAAAATAGAGACAAACAATCTGCTAGATACAGAGTATGAAACACTGGTTATAAAGATGTTCAGTAAAATTGAGAAAGTAGTTCATGAGCTCAGTGAGAACTTTAACAAAGTGAAAAGTCACACAAAAATAGTAGACAGAAAAAAGAACCAATCAGAACTGAATTATCAAAAACTGAAATCAAGAACACATCAGAGGGAATCAACAGCAATTAGGTGGAGTGGAGAACTGACTCAGTAACCTGGAAGACAAGGTAGCGAAAAACTCCCAGCTGGAACAACAACAAAAGGAAGAATAAAAAAAGAGGATAGTTTAAGGGACCACTGCGACAATATCAAATATATCAATAATTGCATCATAGGGGGCCCCAGAAGGAGAAAGATTTTCCTGCTGGAAAGCTATGAGGTGGGTCTTTATATCTTCATAAATGTCTATGGCTATATCTAGTCACCATTTCAAAAGCTTTATTTACTTCCAAAGCCAAACAAACATTACAATGTACATGTAGAAATTACACATGTGGCAAGTTGCTGCTTACTCATTATTGGGTAATTCTTGGACAGTTTTCAGGATCTCTAATTCACAAAACCAGTTTTAGATAAAAATCAAGATCAGGTTGCTGTATGATTTGGCATAGCAGCTCCTATAGGGTACAGCTTCCAAGTTCCTTTTCCCATCACACTTTCCTACCCCATGCCAGTAACATCCTTCAAATAAATGACATACATATTGTTTCAAATACACAGCAGATTAGTTCAGGTTGCAAGAGACCTCAGGAATCAACAAGTCGAATGGTTTGCAAACTTCCTTTTTCCCCCTGAAAAACTTTATATAGTACTCTAAACACAAAGGGCATTAAAGTGGAGCATCTTGGGTTAAAAGGAGGCCCAGGGTGCACAGTCAAAGCATAATAGCTCCACACTAGCGCTTTATACGTGTATGTGGTGTTACAGATTAGTGTATACAAGTAGGCACAAGTACATATGCATATGTGTATACAGGGTGTCCCCCCAAAATGTATACACACTTTAACAGCTGATAGCTCAATTTTTAAAATGTATTTTAATAAACACTGCCTTTATAATTATTCAAAGTGTGTGTATACATTTTTTGGGACACTCTCTATATATTCACAAGTGTATAGTATATATAAAAATATAAATATGTATGTCTCTCTGTGTATATGTGTAATCTTCTAAGTTCTCCAAGCATGGAAAATTTATTTTCATATTTAAGAGAAAATAAATTAAGGAAAAGAATTGAAATGCTTCCCAAATGATTTAATGAGGGCTGTATAAACCTTATATCAATATCTGACAAAGGCATTTTTTAAAAATAGAAATAAATCCCTCACAAAACACTACATTTTTAATTTTAGCAAATGGAAACCATCAATATATAAACTTTTTATTTATCGTGACCAAATGAGGCTCATACCTGGAAGGCAAGCATAATGTAACATCTTGAAAGTCAACTGACATAATTTATCATATTAAAAAAAATAAAAGTGAGAAATCACATGGTCATCTGAATAGATGCCTTAAAAACAATTAGCAAATTCAATATCCATATATGCAAAAATTATCAGTAAACAAGGAAGATAAGGGATTCCTCAATCTGACAAAAGCAACTATAGAAAACCTTCAGTTAACATTATATTTATTGGTGAAATATTGAATGATTTCCTCCTAAGATGCAGAGCAAGACAATTATATTTAATATTGTACTGGAAGCCCTCACCAGTGCACTAATCAAAAAAAAAAAAAGTATAAAAATTGGAAAAGAAGAATTAAAACTCTCTCTAGTTGCAGACGATATGATTTTGTAGAAAACCACAGGAATTGTAAAAAACACACAAAAACTACTAGAATTTATAGGTAAATTTTTCAAGAATATAATTATAAAAGTTAATTTAAAAATCAAATGTATTTCTATATACTACCAATAAACATTTGGAAAGTACTATTTTAAATGAAAATTTCCAAAGTAACTCAGGAATAAATATGAGGAAATATTTGCAAGACTTCTACACTGAAAAGAAAATATTGCTGAAGGAATTGAAGAGAATATAAATAAAACATGAGATGCATCGTGTGCATTAATTGGAAGTCTCATTAGTAAGATGTTGATCCTCTCCAAATCTATAGATTCAATGCAATACCAATCAAAATCCAATTAGACTTTTCTTTGTAGAAATTGACAAGTTATCCTAATATTTTGATGGAAAAATATGGAATATTAGAAACAATTTAGAAAAAAGAACAAGGCTGAGGTCAGCATAGTATTGGCATAAGGATAGATACATAGAGCAGAAGAGAGAATTCAAAAAGAGATCATCATATTATTTGGTCAATTGGTTTTAAAATCAAGCATTACTGGAATCCAATGAGAAAGGATCTTTTCAATAAATGATTCTGCAAGAACTAGGTGTCTGTAAGAGGGGGACAAATGATCTTTGATCTCTATTTTCCAACCTAAAGACTAATGTAATGTACCTGTTGAGTCACAGCTGCTGCTATCAAGCCCCCAGAACTGTCTCCTGAAATACAGATTCTGTTGGGATCCACTCCATATTTTGTAAGTATTTTATCTTGAAGAAAAAACTTGACTGCAGTGATGCCATCTTCAAACTGAGCAGGAAAGCGGTGTTGGGGAGCTAGTCTATAGCTTTAAAAAAGAAAAAATTATTTAAACAGTTTAAAACAGTAGTGTTATGGTTGTATCTGTCTATGTAGCTTTCAAGTACCAAATTAATGCAATCTAACACCAAGTTTTATTGTCTAATCTTCCAAAAATCAAATCTGAGTTTTCTACTAACTTTATTATGTGAAAAAATAAAAATTTATATAAAGGTTTTTAACATCATATCTAAGGTCTGTGGATAGCATTGCATGTGAGGAGTAAGAGAAGTGCTATGAACTCCCTGATATTGTAAGCATAACTTTTTGCCCAAGAACATTTTGGATTGAAGATACTCTATATCTCATATTCTCAGTGTAATTGGCGATCCAAACATTAAAAAACATTATTGAAAAAGTACCATCAATGTTTGAAGGTAGAAGATCTGAGAGCATATTCTAGGTAAGTGCCCTATTTTTTTCATGGTTATTTAAATAAAAATTCTTCACACACTGGTAATGCACATACCTCATCATGGATAATGCCCAGAGTTGATTCTAGATAACAATTTTGAAATATAACTAACATTTAAATATGCTAAAAATCTTGCTAGTTTCTGGTAAATTCATTTGAAGGCACACTACCACACAATTCTTTTAATAGATACAAATAGATTTCCCTCCATACATGTGGCCCTGTAAAAACAGAAAGACACCTCTATTAGCCTGTTCTCAGAGCTAACTTTTTTTTTGTACTTCAGATTGTTAAAGTTTGTCTATATCTGCACTTAATATTCAACATTGGTGAAATGATCCTTAAATATTTATTATAAACTATATTTAGAAAATCCTTAGTAAAGTATAATTAAACATAATTATGTACCCAAAAGATATTGGTTTCTATTACTTTAAATGCAGTAGATTTAGATTTTTTTAGGGCAAAGTATAACACAAATCATAACAATTTGACAGAATATAGAATATATATGCCAACCACAAATATATTAAAACAGATTTGAAATGACAAGATTTAGATAACATTAAAAGCTATGGAGGTAAGAAAGAGATGTCATAATATTATAAATTAGAAATATTCCTGAAAACAGGAAGTTCTAGATACTGTAAGTAACCGTAACAACAATGGCGATCATGCTTTAGTTGATTAAATTTTACTTTAGTTGCCCTCTAAATTTCCATAGTTTCCTAACAAAAAACAAACAAACAAGTAAATGAAAAACGATGTCACAATGTCCTGAAAGAACTATTGGGTTAGAAGTCTCTATATTTTTGTTACTAGGGAAGAAGCAGCAGAAAAAATTCCTTCTGGGGATGTGGGCTTCAGAAATCCAGGCTATACTAGTGTAAGAAAATACTGAATTGGCCTAAGACATTCTTATATGTCTAGTAAAATCCATGATGTAAGATCACTTCCAGAGAGTGGTTAAAATTCTCAGCCAATCTCAACCTTTACTTTCTACATTACCTCAAAGAAGAGTTATTCTGAAATAAAACACATCAGCTCAAATACAACCTAACATTCCCAATATGTACTTGTTTATTTAGGTCCTCTTGTCTAGCCATATTTCTTGGCCCACAAGTGGGGCCTTATACAAGCTGAGTTTGTAAATCTAGAGCAATAATGTTTTCAAAAATACACACCCTGGGGTGTCACTCAGAGATTCCCACATCACAGAGGAGTAATGAGTATTGGACCCCTTTGAAGACTGTTCTATGTTGTAATGGTGGCAAATAAAATATATCAGCTTTTAAATATTATATTTGAGGCATAACTGACTTGCTTAGGAAATCTAACCTCTACTTTGTGAAAGCAAAAATCATAATAGTCAAATAAAAGTATTCTCTTACTCCACTCCCACGACAACGGCATCAAGTTTGTTGGCCGTCCATCTGTTAAGGAAGTCAAAACCTCTCTGCTCTGAAATGAAGAAATAAATGTCAAAGTACTCCCTGTAATTAAAAAAAACACATACACAGAAAAATTATAGCTATGAACTTGGAGAGAAATGTGACTTGAGTAATATAAGGAACCTTTTTCCCCCACCCTGTTTTTTATGCAGAGGGACCTGAGTCAGCAAGATACAGTCTACAGGAGTGTTTCTTCAGTCGCTCTCCCCAGGGGTGAAAAAAATCATGGCTCATTGGTGCTCTGGGGAGCTGAAACTAGGCTCAGCTCATCCTAATTTTCTCTTGTCTTCTGCTGTCTGCACACAAGGATCCTTCCAAGAACCCTCTGTGGCCTGGTGCTCTGCTTCTCCAGGCAGCCAGTTTCATAGGGAGGCGGCCTGTGGTTGGTCAGCAAGGCCACTACAGGTGGGTTAATATCTCTGACTCAGCAACACCTGAACACACGTTGTCCAAACTTCACTAGAAATAATGATTATGTTTTGACTTTTATTTACCTGAATTCTGTGTATAAGCTTTCATTTGGCTTAGAACTAAGAGAAACAACAAAGTAATAGATGCATTGGCTGCCTAAAACTGCAACACTCAATAATGTGGTTCCTTAAAACCTTCATTTTCTCCAAATAGACCACATTGTGAAATGGCCCAATAACTTTGGCATTGAAGATAGTCTAAGAAAAAACTACTAGATTTTGACAGAACCTCTGGCAAGTCAGTGTGTAGACTTAGATGTACATATCTATTTTGGCATGCTTGACACACAAGCCATCGCCCCCCCCCCCCCC